CAAACAGTCAGGTCAAACAGTCAGGTCAAACAGTCAGGATACTGCAGTAATACCACAGCAGACAACAGAAGGAACTGATTTCTACACTGGTACTGACTTATTAACTCACACCACTGACTTATTAACTCACACCACAGACAGGAAGTCGTGATGAACCAGAGTCCACAGAGAAAATGTCTGATGTAAGGACACAGAGACACAGGTGCTCCTGGTACACTGCCCTCATGTGGACACTTTGTGTCACTGCGTTTCAAACAGTGAAATCAAATGAACAGCAGCAGATCAACACGTCCAGAGTGTCTGACTTTGTGGTTCTGGACCCGTGGACTCTGGTTCTGGACCCGTGGACTCTGGTTCTGGACCCGTGGACTCTGGTTCTGGACCCGTGGACTCTGGTTCTGGACCCGTGGACTCTGGTTCTGGACCCGTGGACTCTGGTTCTGGACCCGTGGACTCTGGTTCTGGACCCGTGGACTCTGGTTCTGGACCCGTGGACTCTGGTTCTGGGTCGGTTCTAAAATAACATCGAAACTCTTTCCACATGCAGTGATTTATAGGAGTTTGTCGCCCCCTGTGGGCACAATGTGGAGGTTTTTCTAACGTTTTTGCATGACTCAGTCTGACGTCAGTTTTTAACCAGTCGATCAAATCAGACAGTATTGTTTCAAGGATGTTCAAGGATTTCAAGCACTTGACCTTGACAACCCTGAAGGAAACAATTTCATGTTTAAAACAAAAATAAAGTCAAGAAAAACTTTTTATCATCATTTTGTCTCCAGTTGTCCAAGTTCTGGGGGGGGGGGGTCTGAACAAAGGTCACATGACCTTGTTTGTTTACTCTGACACAGTATGAAGGTGGGAATGTCCCTTTAAATCCCAGCATGCACCTCTTCCTGACTTTTATTTGTTGGCGTTTTTCTTTTTCTCTGCGTGAACAGAAACAGTCGGAGGGAAAACACGGAGGCAGAACCGGACCGAACCGGACCGACCTCAGGGTTGGTTCATGGACTCAAACTTTTTTAATTTCATTTGATCTGAACCCAAACCTGCGTGTGATTCAGGTCAAGTTTCCAGAGTTCCCAGATTAAAGTCACATTTCTTCATATTAGTATTAAAAGTGTAAAATTCAAGGGTAAACACTGAAACAGGATGTGACGTCACTGTCCCGGGGAATAAGGAAATCGTCACAAAATAAAAGGGAATAATTATGTTTTATTTGTTTTGGATTGAAACAGTGCAGAGGTGAAAAGAAGCTCGGCAGTGACACCCAGTGGTCAAAGCTTTAAAAACATCATTGACATGACTTAAAAACCTGAAGGTAATTTATATGACCCCCCCCCCGCTAAAGAACAGCAGGTTTAAAAAAATAGAAACCTATAGTACTGTAAACATTACTGGTGTTGAGACCATGGATGTAGCCTTAAGGTCAGAGGTCACCACCACCTGAGCCTTTTCTTCAGTTAGCTGGTCACATGATCAAAAGGTTTGACTTTTTTAGTCTATTTCTATGATGATGTCACAGACGTGAACTGTTCTGCTCCGGAAAACAGTTCTAAAGAGTGAAGAGACCAACTGTTACACTGCCACCATGTGGAGAGAGAGAGAAAGAGAGAGAGAGAGAGGATCCCTAAGAACAAAAATCTGTTTCTAAATGATCAGCTAAGATCACATGACTTCATGAGTCCCACGTTTTCTGGTCAAGTGTAAAAACGTCTGATTCCACATCCCATAATTCTGCAGTTCATCACAAATCCTGCAGGGACTTCATACCACCTGCAGGTGTCCTCCTCCTCCACCTCCTCCTCCTTATCTGGCTCAATAATCCAGTGCTGCTGCCAGAAGAGGAGGGCGGAGCTAAAAGTCCTGGTCTTTCATTCACAGTCAGTTGTTTTTACCTTGCTGCGTCCTGATTGGCCGACAGCTCATTTCTGCAGCTCCTGTGGCGTGCTGAAGGTCTCGTACACGATGGCGGAGAAGTCCTTGACCTGGTCATTCAGCAGAAGGTCCTGCAGCAGAGCGGCACAGGTGACTTACTGACACAGTGAGCGCCCTCTGGTGGTGTGAGCTAACATGACGTGAGTGTCTGTGACGTCTACCTGAACGAAGTGGCTGGGCGTGTCACTGCAGATGATGTTGACCTGGCCGTTGATGATGGGGATGACCTTGGCCAGGGGCAGACTGACCACAGACAGACTGAGGAGACACAGGAGGTCAGGGGTCACCTTTGTGCTCTCCTCTGATCAACACCTGCCCTAGTGGCTCTGTCTCTGTCGCTCACCTGTCAGGCGCAGCGTTGGGGGCGGAGTCACCAGGAGGTGGGCGGAAGAACTCGGCCAAATTGTCGAGGAGACGAGAGAAGCCGCGGTTCAGACAAGCAGTCAGAGCAGAGGAGAAGTCTGGACTGAGAGGAGGAGGGAGGAGAAAAAGAACATGTTGGATAGAGTTGGATCAGGATGGAGGAGGAGAAGGAGGAGGAGGAGGAGGAGGAGGTGTCCACCTGTCCAACATGTCTCTGGTCTCCTTCAGAAGTCTGATGGTCATGACGTCATCTTCTGTCAGACCACAGGCCTGAAGAGAGAAGAGTGTGTGAACACCCTGATATGGTCTGTCTGTCTGTGTGTGTGTGTGTGTGTGTGTGTGTGTGTGTGACCTGGTCAGACAGAGCGTCCTGGTCATCAGCCAACATGTACCAGGACAGGGGGCGCTCTGACGACTCCACCTCCGCTCTGATCCAACTGAGCTGCTGCTCCAACTCCAGCAGAGAGAGAGACTGTTTCAGAGACACACTGACACACACACACACACACACACACACACACACACACCTGTCAGGTCAGGTCAACACTGTGAGGTCACATGACAGTCAGAAAGTCTCTCACCCTCCCAGTGAGTTCTGCACAGACTTCTTCACCTCAGAGATCAGCTGAGTCAGACCTGGACACACAGAGAGTCAGAGTGATGACAGAGGGATCAGCTGAGTCAGAGTGATCAGCTGAGTCAGAGTGATGACAGAGGGATCAGCTGAGTCAGAGGGATGACAGAGGGATCAGCTGAGTCAGAG